AAATATATTGTACAGTAAAAAATTATTTAAAAATCTATATTTTGCCAATAACATGAAAATAGATCCAGGAGAAAGAAGCACATTTATTATAGCACAAACTTATAACAAAATCCACTGATAAATCTGGAAATCCTATTTCTTAAAGGTATTTAGATTTAGCTCTAGGTTTCGTCAGATTTATCTCATCTACCATGTTTTTAACTGGCTGCTCGATACTTTTCCAGCGATTTATTTCATAGCCTTGTAATTTGTGGGTATAATTTATTTTTTTGCCTTCCATAAAATTTACTAAATGTTTTGTGATAACTCATACTATATGTTCTGTTATTTCTTCTCCTTTGTGAACACCTAGAAAATATCTCAACACAGCCTGTGAGCTTGTAGGGCTCCTCCGAGTATTGGACATACTTGAAATTGTTTATATTTTCCACAGCCTCAAGTCAGAATGATCAGTAAAGGTGCCCCAACAACAGTAATATCGGGATTCTTTCATTAGATTTATACAAATATGCTATTTTGAAATACAAGCTTAAACGAGCTATCAACTGTTTTTTGAAGGGATGAGGGGAGGGAGCAAAAATTAGCACACTTATTAATAAAAACATACTAAAAATAAATAGGGAAAAATGATATAAAACAATATTTTCCCAACTATTCCTGAGGGCTGTTTGTATCCCAGGCTATTGGTCTATCTCCAGCGACAAAGTGGGGAAAAAATGGTCTTTGTCAGTTTTTTCCGTCCTTTAAAATTTTATTTATTTTGATAATCTGTCCCCTTTTATTTTTCTTATATAGGTATGTGTAGCATTCAACAAGGCATGCTGGGTAAAATATACTATGCAAATGTGTACATTGCTGCATGTTTTGTTCTCTGCTTTAGTGGCTTTAAAGGAAAATAATGTGGTGTTATTTTTGTGAACAAAGACATTTAACAAAATGCAGAGTGCATGCATACAGTATCCTAATTTCTATGGATTTGTTTTATGGAATTAAATGTGTACAAAACAACTGCATTAATTTTTTTCTTTTATATAATAAATGAAAAAAATGATTGAAATCAGTGTTATACTCTTCCTTTACTTTAGAGAGACACTGAAATATTTCAAGTCAATAACTAGCATCCTTTATACCTCTTACAGGGGAAAAAACGTAGATACAACCACTCAAAAAAAAACACAAATGTTTAAATGAAATGACTTACTTTGTGAATATTCTGCTAAGGTGCAATGAGATCACAAAAGAATTGCTGTGTTCAGAAAGAATGTGTAAGCAAGTACTATGACACGCAGAACATGCAATGTATGAAGATTTGGGGGACTTCAAGATGCTCATGAGAAAATGAAATTAAAAGGTATGTCTATTAGCACAGAAATCAAATGCATGCACCTTTTTATAATAGTAAGAACCTTTTGGAAACCTTCTATTTGCATAAATTTCAGCTTTCTTTGTACCTTAATAAACTTACCTTTTAATTCTATGTTCCACTAACGTTTTCAAATATTCTCTCACATACTGTATTATGAGTGTGTGGAATAGGATTGAACGCAATAGAGAAAAAAAGGCATTAGATGGACTTTTCTGTTCACAAAATACCTTACATGGTTGCTTTGCTGTGGCAGTCAGTTGGTTTCCAAAGCTATTCTATAAGTAGGGGTTCCATGGTAGGATAAACCTTATGTACACTTCATGTACTCAAAGAGTCCATTGTCTCTCCTGTGACATGACTGAAATTTGACTCTTCTCTCATTGTACCGTGTAGCACATTCAAAAGAAATACGGAGTATGCTGATTATTCTTGCTGCATCAAAGTCACAGCTATTAAATAAACATTAGCACCTTTAATCTGACTATCCTGGAAAGCAGGCAGAGTGTGATCATTAGAACCAACTACAGATGAGCAAGCCAAAATTCATGTAACCTCTATAAAGCACTTTTCTTGAAAAACACATCGATCTAATGCTTTTAAGATAGGTAAGTTATCTGAAGAGTACAAAAGAGTGCCTGGAATCTATCAGTGTTGACTGAGTACCTCTCTGTAACAGGAGAAGCCTTAAAGGAAGCTGCCCCAACTATGAGAGTGGTTCAACCAACAGTCTGAGACCCCCATGTGGAAGAATTACAGTTCTTCACCATCACTACGTCAGCCCACCAATATGTGAACCAAGCTCTTGGCACAACATATAGATAAGTGTAGTGATCATAGCGTGGGTTCTAACTTTTACATGGATTCCAAAACCTATATCCGGAACTAACTCACCCTGAGCTCACAGCAGTCTTTGAACTGCCCTGTGCCTGGATCTGTTCCTGTAGATGATACGTCTTTTTTGTTATGGGTCATGTTATCCTGATTTGTGTGTGAGATTAAAGACGTGAATTTTACAACAATGATGAGTATAGAACAAATTCCTCAAAAAACTAATTGGACCTTTTTTGTCAAGTTGTTGGGGATTCCTGTAGCCCTTTTCAAGACTGGTTTTTTTTTTTTAAAGATTTATTTTTATTATTTTTTTATTGGAAAGGCGGATATACAGAGAGGAAGATCTTCCATCCGATGATTCACTCCCCAAGTGAGCGCAATGGTCGATACTATGCTGATCCGAAGCCAGGGGCCTCTTCCGGGTCTCCCACGCGGGTTCAGGGTCCCAAAGCTTTGGGCCGTCCTCGACTGCTTTCCCAGGCCACAGGCAGGGAGCTGGAAGGGAAGCCGGGCTGCCGGGATAGAACCGGCGCCCATATGGGATCCTGGTGCGTGCAAGGTGAGGACCTTAACCACTGTGCCACCGCGCCGCCGGGTTCAAGACTGGTTTTAAGCTCCTTCCGGTTGGTCTGGAGGAAGGCTCATTCTAAGTTCATGTAGCTCCTTGTGTAAGGACTCAGGTTTCTATTAAAGACTCCCATGTTCAGGGAGCCCTCCTCATGCTGACTGAAAGGCACTCAAAGGACTCCTGGTCCCCTGTCAGGTCCAGGAATTTCTTGTTTTACGGCTTCCTGGTACTTGCTTTTTCCTCAGAAATTGTTCCTGGCCAGTCTCCTGGAGTTTCGTATGATACAAGTGCAGGCTGATATGCATCCAATGACCCTATAGGCCCCTTCGCTTTTGCCAGGGGTTTTCTCTGATACCTTCCTCCTTTCAGCTACTCTGCCTCACAGACTCTGACCTCCTGGACCCCAGGGAATGTTGAGCTGTGTGTTCAGTTCTAGAAGATGGCCACACTCAGGGGTTCACACTCCTTCTGAATCTGGCAGAGAACTGATCCCAGCACACAAAGTCCAGACGACCAATTAGTAAACTGTCACAATTCAGTGCCCTATGTTTTCCAATATCTAAAATAGTGCTTTCCTGCATTCTATATCCAGCTTTCTGTTAATGATAAGGCAGTATATATATCTAAACCAGTCTACTCATATCTTGAAACAGTCTTGTCAATGACATTTGCAATCTCTGTAATCATGGATAAATTCCTCTACAAAAAGTCGCAGAAGGAATCTGTTTTCACAAATAGTTATACACCATCAATAGAATCCCAAGTGATTCTGTAGTAGTTCCAAACTTGTGTTGCACCTATAGATCATATACTTGGGCAAGAATATTTTGGAAAGACAAATGAATGTTTTTCCCTCAAGAAACACTTAGAAAATAATCTAGAAGACAAACTCCTGACTAGAGATTACAAAATACAAGGACCGAATTTCATAATATGGATCTGTCATGCTTATACATCTACATTTAATATTTCTATAGAGATGTGTGGGAGTTTGCAAAATACTTGAGACCAGCCAAAACATGACCTGAATGGAACTATGAAAGTTGGAACAAATTAGTTATGCAAACAACATTGTACTTTTAAGGAGCCTATAATACTTCATTAAGTCAATCCAGGCACCATATAATCCTTAAATTAGAGTGGATTGCTGCATTTTCTTTCCATTCTTTGGTGTAACTCTAAGTTTTGGCTTTTTAGTGACAGGCCCCGAGACATTCCTTTTTTTCTTTTTATTGAGGTGATAGTGGAGGGCTAGCAGGACTGAGGTGAAGGGGGGTTGTGTGTTGATGTGCTTCGTTTCATTTCATTCAGCTGTTGGGGATATAAGGAACATGGCTCACACTGCCTATTACAACTCTCCTCTTTTCCCTGAGCCGAAGAGAAAAACAAGGGCTGGAGTTTTGTCTGATTTCCTTTTTCCCTCACCGCTTGCCTCTAGCAAGAACTGAAACTAGTTTTCATATTCATCAGCTGACCTGGAACCCAAGCAAGGCCTCAAAGACCTACTGTTTTTTCCCTGTGTGAACCCTCTGACCTGGAGGGGTTTCGTAACATGCCCAGCAGTAAAGAACTCAGACAACCAGGTAGGAAGTGACCTCAGGATTGACTTACATTTGCAGCGGACAGTGGACTTAGTACAGCGTGACTAGCAGAGGGCACGGCTGTTCCAAGAATACAGTACAGAATGCCAGAGCAGAGACTGCACCTGACCGCCTGTTCCAGGAAAACAAGATTCCACTGCTGCAACAGCTTAGTGGGCACACCGTATTTTTAAACAGAGGAGCGGCTTCATGAAAACGATCTCTTTGGGCAAACGGACTTGAGATTGGACAGGACAGGCCAGAGACGCACCCCCTGACTTTAGCTTCGGTGTCAGGGAGCCAAAGGCTGGAAAGCCGGGATCTTACAATACCCTCAGAGGCCCTTTGGGAACGCCACGTCGTGAAAGTGTGAAACGCGTGTGCAGGGCCGGGGAGGGGCACTCCACCACGCGTTTACATCCTGACTTCAGGGAAGAAACGCAGGGGCAAACACAAACTCCGGCGGAGACCCCAGTCGCAGCCCACCCCGCTTCAGGCCGAGACAGCCGCCCCGACGCCCTCACAGCGACGCGGCTCACGCCAGCAGGCAGCCGCAGGCCCCGCCCTCGCGCCTGCGCACTGCCGCCCGCCCGCCCCGCGCCCTTGCTGCCCCGCCCGCCCGGTCGCAGCCGCCCGAGAGGAGCAGGGGAGGACGGTGGCCCGCGAGGCTCGTCGCAGACAACGCGGCGGCGATGTCCGCGAGCCAGGCGAGTGCCGCGGCGGCAGCGGCGGGGCCTCGCGCGCGGCAACGCGGCCTGGGCTTCGGCCTCTCTCCGGTTCCTTGGAAGCGGGCCGGCGGCCAGCGCGGCGGCAGCAGCAGGAGAGGCGGAGGCTCCAGTGCGTCTCTCTGCCTCTCAGCCTGAACCCGGGGAGGCCAGGCGGCCCGGGTGCGGCTGGAGAGGGTCCGCTGCCCGAGAATGGGAATTCTCTTCACCAGGATATGGAGACTGTTCAATCACCAGGGTGAGGGGCTTGGGCCGCGCGGCCGGGCGGGGAGTCTGGGCGGGGGTCTCCGAATACTTCCGGAGTGTGGGCCGCGCCGGGGCGGGCGCGGGACCCCCGGCTGCCCCACGAGCCCGGGTAGGGCTCCTCCTGAGTCGCTACGCTTTGTCTTCCCGGAAAGTCGGGTCGGCCATACACCCATTGCTCCGAGTTCGATCGGGAATGGGAAAGCTTGCTTGCCCCGCGTCCGACGTCCCGGAGTGGCCCCCGGCCTCGCCTGTCTTCCCACAGCTGCGGGTGTTTGGACGCCGCAGAGAAATGCAGGGGTCTTCTGGGATGAAGGCGGTTGTAGGTTATGGCCGTGACCGCACGTCGGGAGGCCCGGGATTGCACAATGCGGAGGACGTGAGCCGTCGGCCTGGACTTGAACGGTGCACTTGAGGCTGGCGAACCTTCCCTGCACCTTCACCCCTCTACAATGGGACTGGGGAGACTCCTTCTGCCTCTGGCATGGCCACGGGCTTCTCTGCAAGGGCCTTACTGAAAGCCCGTGCCTAAGGTTATAGGCTTAAGGTCGTTTTTCTGCTTGTGTGGGTTGTTTAATCAGGATTTTGTTGCTGCTGTTATGAAACATTTGTGAGCGGTAGGTAACTAGCACGCTTCGGTTACTGAATTTTCTTCTGTGGGGCTGTCTGAGTTACTGCAAGTACAGGCATTGCTGTGAAAGGAGTGTGTACAACTGGGGATAGGGGATACAGTCTTAGCAAAAGGGCTTCAGTTAATAGCAGCATAGTGGTGTGGTTTTGTTTCCTTTTATCTCAAGTTGGGTGATCCATTGTTCCAGCTGAATGTAACTGAGTTTATGTTTTTCTCATGTACCATCTCGTAGTGGTATCACATTTCACATGTTTTCTAATAAAGACATAAGCAGATGAGGGAGCTTCAGGTGTTGGTGGTGATACTGATTAAGTAGTTTCATAGTTCTTAGACGCTGTTGGCTTTGTTGCTCCAAGGTTGAGGAAATCCTTCCAAGGTCCCTTGGCTAACATAATCCACTTTAGAACCTCCACTCACTCGGGTACTTGCTGTCAAAGCTTGGCCAGGAGAGTTGTTCAGTTTGTTCTGACCTCCATCCTCTGCAGGCCTCAGTGAGCTGCCATGTCCCCCGTGTGTATCTGGGCATGCTGTCCACTGCACATGTGTGCTCCACATCAGGGACCCTGGGGTGACATCAAGTGGCCAGCCCCCATCCCGGGGTACTGATGCAGTTGTGCTGCTGGGAGTGGCCCTCTCCCCTTCGCTGCTCTCTTCCCCCATATACAGAAGAAAAAAATTAGAAACAATTGTCTCATCCACTTTCTTTCCCTCTGCCTCTACTTTCCACCCCTAATTAGTGGTCCAGGTGGCTTGCATTCTTCTCAATTATGTAAATATCATCGAAAATTTTTCATTTAAAGAAAAGCTCATGGGGAAATGGAATTAGAAGTATGAATTTATCTTGATACAAAGAAGCTTTTTGAAATCAGTGTTGAGTTCTTTTGTAATATGCATCTGCCACATATTATGAGAAGAATTTTATATCAAGAGTAAATTTTTGTAATTCCATGTTTCTCTGGACTGTTTAAGTGCCCTCATTGTGGTGTGGCCCTCTGCTGCCAACCAGGCAGGTAGTGGGAAGGGAGAAGGCACAACTTCAAGTGTGTATCTACGTAGTGTAGATACGGTGATGCCATTCAAATACCATTTGAAATTATTTTTTATGGGGGGTGGTTTGGCGATTTCAAAGTGGAACGAACCAGCTCTGGATTAGCATGACTGGGGAGAGGGAGAATGGGAACTAGTCCCATAATTTCTTGGGTTCCAGGCATTCTCTCTTAGCACCCCCATAATTTCTAGGGTTCAAGTATTAAAACTCAGCTTGCTGTAAGACTGGTGGAGTAATTTTGTGTCGTAATTTGTATTGCTTCCAGTAGAGCTAGTGTGTGTGTCAACTCAGCTATGAGGTTCAAGATTTTGTTTGTTAATCCAGCTCTAGTGCTGCCAAAAAACGGTTATCTCCACATTCTGTTTTGAATTGATGGTAAAATTATTTGTTTTTGAAACTTAAGAATAAATAAGAGTTTTGTCAAAAGCTACTTGCCAGTTGCAAATAATAGGATATGTGCATTAGTCCCAATACATCACTATTGCTAGAGTCTTTATTAACCTGTATTGGTGATTATTTTGACTGGATATTTGCTTTCTTTTAGGGAAATAGAGGAATTAGTGAAGCCATGTTCTAGAGACTTAACTGTCACTATCATAGAAATGTGAATCTACTGTTTCCTCCCTATAGGGTTCCTTTGCACAGTATTTGCTGTCCACTCTAATGCCTGATGCTTGTTGGTCTTTTTGGTCCTGTATTAGATTGAATGAAGTTTGATATATTTTAGATACATTATTTTATTTTCAGAGGACTCAGAACACATTCCTATATTCTTACCCCACAAATTCATAGGCAGAAAATTTTGGAAGATTAATATAGAGTTTTCCATGGTGATGAAACTTCAGCTGTTGCATATCTGTTTGCTAAAACTGTTTTAGAACAGCTCTTGCATTAAAGCTTGAATTGGCTGCACAGTGAAAGTGGGTGGTGTTCAAAGGAGAAAAGTCAGAGAGGTTAGTTTTGAGTGATACTTGAGTTCAGTAGAGTACAAACTTTATCCTAGATGCTATCATTTACAGCATATTTTTTTCATGAAAAAATTTTTAACAATCCTTTGAAGTTACTTCCCCTGAGAAAAGGAAAACTGCACATCCAGTGGAGTGAGTCCCCCAGGCCATTAAAGTGTTACATGCGGGAGTCAGGCAAGTTAAAGCATCAAAAGAATGTGTTGCTGGTGATTGGTCTTGGAGAAGAGATTGATATCATTTTCCCCCTGTTTCTCAGTTGCTAAACTCTAAAGGCTTAAACTTTAGCACTCTTCAGGGTTGCTATTAGTTACTTTTTATGTAGAAGGGGTTGTGATCAGTGGTTTATTTATTTATTAAACAGAAATTGAGCACTTTTGTAGGCCAGGATGTGTTCTAGATGTTGGGAGTAAGGCAGAAAACAAAATAGACAAATTTCCCTGGTTTTGTGGAGCTTTCGTGGTAATAGCAATTAGTACTTACTTGACGTGTGCAAGGTTAGATTCTCAGTGTTCAATGCCAGAGTTGACTACTTTAATCTTCATGTAGTTGATTTACTATTTACTACAATTCTATAAAATAGTCTTCTCTTTAGGTAACTTATTTAGAGTGCTATAATTAAAAATTATAAACATGGAAATTTTTATTAGTATAAAGAGAACAGATTTTATGCATTCCACAGGTACAGTTCCAAGAAGACAACCACACTTCACACATGGGATTTTAACCAAAATATTATAGAGCTTATGCTCTTAAAACACCCGGCAAACTTTTTTTCTAAATATAAGAACTCATGCTAGATAAGAGTTATGACACTGAGGTGTGAAAAAAAGTTGTGGAATTCCTTGTTGATAGCCTTGTTTTGTTCTTCTGATTGCTTGTTGGAAAAGAATTACAAATTATGAATGAGTGCTAGAGAATTTGTCCCTGCTACAGGAAACATGCTTAGCGGCCACCTCTATTTCTATTGTTTTTCTTTTGTTATATGAGAAGTCAAACACATAAGAGAGTATGTATGTGGAGGCTGAGTAGCCAGGGGAGTGAATTGTGCCAGTTGTCAGCTTATTGTCTCTTAGTTCCAAATAAACCATTTGTGCATGCTCTGGAAATTGGACCTGGATTCTTTCAGTAATTTTCTTTTGTGAGCTAGCATGGTGTTGAACTTTCTCAATACAGCACTGGAGAACCATTGAAGGAGGAAAGGGCTTTTCTTCCATTATGATCTGCTGTCCCTGTTGCCTGGCCTTGCACTGCGTAGTGGTTAACAGTGGCCAGCAGCTTTCTCTAGCTCCTACCCCCCTCCATTGCTTTCGCAGTGGAGATATTCCTGTGAAATATGTCCTGGTGAACACTTTTCCTCTGCATCCTGTTCAGAGACTTCCCAACAAGTTCCACTGGGTCATCACAAGTGTCTGAAAGTCAGTCAGGGGACCACACCTGTGCCCTTCAACAAGGTCTGCTCCTCAGTCCTGAGAGACAGGAGGAGCTCTATCCCAGCCCAGGAGTAGATGCTGCTGCTTGCATCAGTCATTCTTTAATCATCTTTGACATTCTTTCATTGCTTGTTACCCAATCTCTCATTACTCAACTTCCTACAACAACAATGTTCTTTATGTCATGCCTTTCACCTTCAATTGTTGTGTAGTTTCTGTCTCTTGTTTGCCACATGTAATCATTGCTTTCTCTTTAGCAACTTCTTAGCACAAAAAGGCTTTTTTTGTTCTTGCAAACTCATTACCATTGCTAGAAATAGTGTTTTCCAATTTTGTTTTTTATTGTTAGTGGCTATGTATTTTGTGTGTTGAGTTTTCAATACAAAATGATATCACCCTTCTAACCTTTATCTTTCCAGGTCTGTTTATTTATTCATTCACTACATGAAACATAGTTTATTTTTAAGCACATTGTTTATTCTAAATTCTGTACTATAGACTTAGAAAACTATAGTGAGTGTGACATGGATTTTTTGCTCTAAGCTTTGTGAAACCAGTAGGGACTTTATCATAGATGAGATGACAATGAGAACGAGTCCCAGTGTCTGCCTTGCGTTTGAGTTTTCTGACTGCACGATTCTGGGAGAGGGAGGTCTACAAAATGGTGATTATTTTGTGCTTTCCCCCCTTAGTTTTCTAACTTGTTAGAGGGACATAAGAGAATACTTTAAAAGTTTGTGGAAAATTGGATTAAAAGGTTATTCTGGTGCAAAAATTTTGAAATTCATACACGTATGAAGGTTTGTGAAAAGGCATATTGTGAAAACTTTTTATCTTCCTTGGACTTTCTGAAGAATCTTTATTTATTAGCATATAGAAATGTCAGTGAGTAGAGCTGATAGGTTACCTGAATGTGTCAAAAGGAAGTAAAAGAGAAACATGGAGAATTAGAAACATTTTCATGGCAAGATATTAAAATATTGATTTTAGAAAAGCTTAATTCTCCATGGTGACTCAAGATTCCATGTAAGTATCACAGAGTGTGTGGTTATTTTGGCTTACCTACAAATGTGTAGAAATGTCATAATAGAGATTATTCTAATAAGTGTTGAACTTGTGAGGATTCACATGAATCAAATAATCGGAGTTGCTGAATGCTGTTCTTACCTTTTTAAATTTGAGAGAAAAAAGAGAGTTACTGCTCCCCTGAACTGAATTATTTCCCCAGGTGTCTGAGAACGGCCAGCGCTGGGCTTGTACTAATCTGGGAACCAGAAACTCAATCCAATTTTCCCATGTGGGTGGTAGAAATACAGTTACTTCAGACAGTACTGCTGCCTCCCAGGTTCCACATTAGCAGAAAGTTGGAGATAGAATCCAGAACTGGACAGTGGTCCCAGGTACTCTAATATGGAATACAGACACTTTAAATATGAGAGCAAATACCTGCCCTGGCTGATAGTTATGTTTGTTTATAGAAACATTGTCTCTTAGTGTATGGATTGTATTTACACTCTGTGGAACATTATTTGGAAGTACATTATGACTCTTTGGGCAAAAGTCTTTTATATAGATTACTCTTCCATCTTGGTAATGAGAGGAACAGACTTGGAGGCTGAAAGAACCCAAGAATGTTTAAGGAAGTTGATTTAGTATTAAGAAAGTGTTGCTTAGGTATAAATTAGCTGGTCACCACCAAATTGGGACCTTATCTTTGAGTTCATAACAAGTGTGTTGTAATTTTATAGTTATTATGACGTACATGCTATATCTTAGATTTAGAATGCTATTAAAGATGACCATTGGTATTATAAAAGCAAAAGAACTTGCGTTGTGTGATGAGTAAAACTACTGCTTCACCGTTGGTATCCCATATGTCACCAGTTTGTAATCCTGCTGCCCCACTTCTGATCCATCTCCCTGCTGTTGGCCTTGGAAAACAGTGGAATATGGTTCAAGTGTTTGGACTTCTGCCACCACTTGTGAAACCTGATGAAGTGTCTGGTTCCTGGGTTAAGTCTGATCTAGCCCTAGCTACTGCATCCATTTGGGGAGTGAACCAATGGATAGAAGATCAATCTCTCTGTAACTCTGAAATTTAAAAAAAAAATCTTTAAATAAATAACCTACAAAAACCTCAACAGGACATAAGAAAGCTGACGAAAGTTGATAATAAGTGTGGTTTGGCAGAGAGAGGAGGTCAGAATCTTCTGGATCATGCGTTCTTTGTTGGAGTGGCCTGTCAAAATCCTGGACAACTCTCTGGAACCTGTGTGTCTTAGAGACTAACACATTTGATTAGTGTTTCTTCTTTTTAAATATATTATTATTATTTTTTTACTGGAAAGGCGGATATACAGAGAGGAAGATCTTCCATCCCCAAGTGAGCGCAATGGCCGGTGCTATGCCGATCCGAAGCCATGAGCCTCTTCCAGGTCTCCCACGCGGGTGCAGGGTCCCAAAGCTTTGGGCCGTCCTCGACTGCTTTTCTGGGCCACAGGCAGGGAGCTGGATGGGAAGCGGGGCTGCCGGGATAGAACTGGCGCCCATATGGGATCCCGGGCGTGCAAGGCGAGGACCTTAACCACTGTGCCACCGCGCCAGGCCCCTTTTTTAATATATTAACCGATTTTTTTTTTAAGATTTATTATTATTATTTTTTTATTGCAAAGGCGGGTATACAGAGAGGAGAGACAGAGAGGAAGATCTTCCATCTGATGATTCACTCCTCAAGTGAGCGCAATGGCCGATGCTATGCCGATCTGAAGCCAGGAGACTCTTCCGGGTCTCCCATGCGGGTGCAGGGTCCCAAAGCTTTTGGGCTGTCCTCGACTGCTTTTCCGGGCCACAGGCAGGGAGCTGGAAGGGAAGCGGGGCTGCCGGGATAGAACCGGCGCCCATATGGGATCCCGGGCGTGCAAGGTGAGGACCTTAACCACTTGTGCCACCACGCCGGGCCCCTTTTTAAATATATTAACCAATTTTTAAAACCTCATGTATAGAGATAAGTTAGTTTCCAGTGTTTTGATTGACTTAAGGATCTGCTTTAGGTTTAAGAGTTTGGGGAGAGTTTGGATATTTATGCCTGTATTAGATGTTAACCATTTATATTAAATGCCTGTATTAGTCATGGGAAATAAACCACAAATTACAGTACCTGCAAGGCTTCAGACTAAGTCTTTTCTCACCTTTTATCCATAGCCTTTGCCTTCCTTTTCCCTGTTCCACTGTGTTTCTGGTCACAGTCATTCCTAGCCTTGTAGGATAACACAAAATTTCTTTTCCTGCTTAGATTCTGTGGCTGGATGCTTCATCACTTTCTTACCATGTCTCGTGGTACTCTATGTTGTCATGCCTGCATATGGATTCTCCCTGTCTCAGCCACTAGCACTCTACCCAGTGTGCTTTGGGTTTGTTTGTTTCTTTCTTTAACTTTTTGTTTTAAATTTCTTGATATGATTAAAGAAAGACTTAACAGTTTGAATGTTACCTAATTTCAGCTTATTGGTTCTCACTTCATTTTGTACATTGACTATAAAAGATGATGCATTTTGAAACTGCTAGCTCATCCTTTGCTTAGAGGGCCACCAACTTGCACTGTGAGAAGGTGTACTGTGGTATGAGCCTTCTGCTGTCTGCTTTATCTCAGTATCTGCATTTGCTTGCAAAGAAGTTTTGTTCAGAGCAATTTTATCTTGCTTATAGTGTTCAGCTTATGGCCAGATGTCATACTTTTTATTTTTTTTGTCTAATTACTAGGAAAGATAGTGATAGGTTTGGGATCAGGAAACACATTGTAGGGCCATGACTAAACTCAGCAGGCAGCTTTATTTTTAAAGATTTATTTTGTTTACTTAAAAGGCAGCATTATGGAGGGAGAGGGAGAGAGATCTTCCATCTGCTAGTTCACATCCCAAATGGCTGAAACCACCAGCCCTGGACTAAGCCGTGTCTCCTATGTGGAAGGCAGTGCCCAAATACCTGGGCCATCCCACTGCTTTTCCTAGTCCATTATCTGAGAACTGAATCAGAAATAGAGCAGCAAGGACAGAAACTGGTACGTACATAGAATACTGACATTGCAGGCCACAGAACCAGCCCCTATTTTCCCTGTTTCATAATGAAAAAAAACTTAGGATATGAAAAACACCAAATTGCTTAAGGTCTCATAAACCTGTGAGTCTTTCTATACTATTTCTATTACCACTCCTTATCTTTATAACTTAAAGCAATGATTTATTCTTTTTCATTGTTCTGCAAGTTGATTGAACTCAGCTAGAAAATTCTGATTTGGCCCTTTCGTTTAGTTGTAGTTGGGTGGCAGGTGAAACTAGAATTACTAGAATGTTCCGAAGGTTCAGCCACTCTTCATATCCCAGATAGTGTCTTTATTTCTGTGTCTGGAATCAAAAGCATACTGGCTAGCAGTACTTGGAGGCTGGCAAATCATCTCTCCCTGTAAGACCTGTCCACATGATCAGCCTGGGCCTCCTCACTCAACTGCACAGCGATTTTGGACATGTTGCACACTGTCTGGCTTACCCAAGGTATAGTTATCGAGCATTGCTAGGTAGCTACTGCAGGAATTCTGATGAACTACACTCAAGTCATGCTTCATTCTGTGGGTAAAACTAAGTCACTGGGCCAGGCTAGATTCAAGAGGAGGGAACTACACAAGGGCATGACTGTCTGGAGGCCATCTTTGGAGAATGGTTTTGGAAATCATTTTTAGACAGCCTAGAGATAGATGACTCCTAAGGGTGCCTTGCTGAAATGTGAAGTGAGTAGATGACTTCGTGAGACATGAATGTTTAAGCAATACTCAAGAAGAGGAATCGGACAAAACAAAAATTAAGATACAGGAAGAAAATGGGAGAATGATGCCATTGAAAGAAGGGAGGGAATTACTGCCGCTGTAATCTTAGGTCCTTAGATTTGTCATGCTACCAGCAGCCCACTGGTTTAAATGGACTCATAAAGTTCATAATTACCCATTTACAACACCATCCTTTATCCTCCCCCCAACATATGGGGAAAATTAAAAGGTTAATGGAAAATTTGCATATTTTATTCCACTTTCCATGAAGTTTTTGATGCCCCTGGTATATATTCAGTTAATAGCTAAGGTTTCAGTTATACCCTCATTGACTTTACCACAGAGTGAAACATTTATATAGCGTGAGTCATTTGTGAATTATTTCAATTGTGTTGGGGATACTGTACTGAGAATAGTTTTCACAGCAGCAGAAAGAATAGTAATACTCTGGCTTCTCATGAAGGAAGTAGGAAAATGAGAGGTCTATATAGGAAGAAGTGTAGGAAAGAGTAGTCTACTAGCATACTTTCACCTATGTTGCTGGAATCCTCTCATGTTCCTTTGGGTTCCAAGAAGTTAGAAAATGCCATGCGTCGGATTATACAGAAAGAAGGGTACAATGAAGAAATTGAGTCATTGGTGTTTTCTTTGTTTCAGAGCACAAAGTTATAATTGTTGGGCTGGATAATGCAGGGAAAACTACCATCCTTTATCAATTGTAAGTATTAACAACCGTAAATTTTTAACTACATTGTTTTCTGGTTACTTTTTCTGTCTGGGTGATACTTGATCAATGAAAACTTATATGAAACCTAAGATACTCTATGAGAAGGTGTGTTAGCCAAATTTAAACAACTGTGTATAAAAGGTTAGAATTTCCTTAAGGTCCAGTGCTGCGACATCACAAGTTAATTGTCCACCTGTGGTCCAGCATCCCATATGGGTACCTATTCGAGTTCCGGCTGCTCCTCTTCCCATCCAACTCCTGCTCATGGCCTGGGGAAACAGCAGAGATGGCCAGAGCCCTTGCACACCTGCACACACATGGGAGACCCAGAGGAAGCTCCTGGCTGCAGACTGACGCAGGTCTCGCTGTGGTGGCCATTCAGGTTGTGAACCAATGAATGGAAGATCTCTCTCTCTCTTGCTCTCACTCTTTCTCAGTAATTCTTTGAAGTAAAACAAATCTTTTAAAAAAATTTTCTGTACATTGAGCATGCCCAGTTGTTTTTAGCTCTTTAGCTTATAAAATGTAGAAGGATACGTGTTTATACAGTTTTCTGGAATATTCCAGATAATCTGATACCTAGTTCCAATCTTGTTTAAATCCTGAGCTTGCATGTGTTTTGAGATAGGGGAGAAAGAACATTTGGGTATAAAACATAAAAAAATCATGCCAATTTTTCCCATGATCAAAAAATTGTGAAGACAGGCTAACTTTCTTATTAATTGTAATATATGAAATTTTTCCCCTAGTTCTATGAATGAAGTTGTACACACATCCCCTACAATAGGAAGTAATGTAGAAGAGATAGTGATTAATAATACGCGTTTCCTAATGTGGGATATTGGTGGCCAAGAGTCTCTTCGTTCTTCCTGGAACACTTACTACACTAACACAGAGGTAATGATTCTTAATATATAAAAACTTCTATTGCCAGATGTTTGAGAAGCACCTAGATTTTAACTTGTACAGTTTGATTGTTGAAATAGCACAGTTGAAATATGTGCAGTTTAAACATGGTAGAATCTGTGCTCTCCTGCTTCAGGACTTCTTTAAACACTTTATGGAGAGTTGGTGGCTCATTGGTTTGATTGTGTATTGATCCCAGAACTTAACTAGTTGTTTTTATAATAACAGCTTGCTCACAATTTGTAGTTGTATTTTCCTCTTGCTAATCATGGTTCGGCTGAGTGGCGGGGCTCCTGGCCAGAGTATTACTGTACATTTTCTTTTATGCAGCACAATTGTGCTTTAAAGACTTCTTTTTGGTTAGATTATATAGCATTTGGAACTTACTCATGTTTTTATTTATGTGCTACTTGCCAAGAGAAAAGTTTGTACTTAAGACATTCGAATGCTTCATTGTACAGATTTTTAAATTGAGAGCTTATGATGATTGTTTTTTGCAGTGCTAATTTTAAGATGCATATAAAGCTGACTTTTAAGTCATTAACAAATTATAAGGTCTGATTCCTGACTATTCCATTAAGCATTTAGTCACTTTTTTTGGAGAAAGAAAGATATATATAGTTACAAAGGTATGTATGATACCTCTGTAGGTATCAAATTCATGCCTAAAAATCATGGATGCATATTTTGAGATTAAAATCTAGTTTTTTAAAAAATAAATAATGCATATTAATATTAAGCAGTTAGAATTGGGCACCACAGAATAAGTTAACTGTGTCTACCTGTGTTTTCCCTGTTGCTTTTCATGCATTTATGGAGTTGAAAAAGAAGCACAGTGGAGTTCAGTCTTCACAGGAGAGCCAGGGCAAGCCTTTGATTCTATCTTCTGATCCCAGTTTAGCCACCACCTCAGGGAAAGAGTTGTGCTTCTGACAGATAACAGTTGCCATTTAGAAGAGAGCATATTGTCAGTTACAGGTCTTTTCTTTCAGTTTGTTCGTTTTACGAAATAGATTTCTCTGCCGCATTAGTTCCAAACGTGTGTTCTTTTACATTTTAATATTGTTAAATTTAGGAGTGTGTAGTAAATTTAGGACTATAGTAAGTATTTTTCTTCCTGATTATAATGTAAATTGGTTGACATAGGCACGTTAACATTCAGGATACTAATTTGGAAGACTTTGATTTTGTTTTGAATGTTCCTTTGTCTTGTTTTCTCTTAGTATATTTGAAATTAGGCTTCCCATTGTGTATCGGATTTCCCAGGAAAGCCGTTAAGGTTTAAATTTACTGATATTAGCAGCTGTAAATCAAATAAGCACTTTATAAAATTTACAGATACCAAATATTTTAATCACTAATTTTTTTTAATGATTATTTTAGTTTGTAATAGTTGTTGTGGACAGTACAGACAGAGAGAGGATATCTGTAACTAGAGAAGAACTCTATAAAATGTTAGCCCATGAGGTAAGTAGTCTTTTACATTATGGGTTGGGGGTTATTTGTTTCTTAATCGTTCTTTCTCGTTTTTCATGATTGTACTATTTCAAGTTTTCAAAACTTTGTTTTATCTGCTGGCTATACCTGCTTTATTCTAGTGATACTTTCCAATTGGAAGCATCAAAAATATTGTAGCATCAGTTATACAGTTTTGTCATTTATCCTAGATAAATCTGATTTTAGAGTTTTCCTGGCCAAAGAATTCTTAGAAGTGTCTTTCTCTTTGTATTTTGATTAGGTTAATTGTGTGGAGAATTGATTTTGAAATGGGATTTTTTATTTATATAGCAGCTCTTTGATTATTAACACAGTTATCACACTGCTATTTGTTATTTTGAGGCTTGTTTGATAATGTTTTCTTGACTCGACCAAATTGTGACTAGTAATGTTTCCTTAGTCATTGAAAAATATTTCTGGTTATATAAGTTGAAAAACAAAGCACACTGAATAAATACCATCAACTTAGGGATAAAAATACTTTTTGGTGCTGCTTTATTAACTCATGTAGTAATAGAAAAAATAAAAATTATGTATCTTTTGCATCTTAATTACCTTCTTGCAAAACATAAGAAAATTGAGATATAATAAAATTTTAATTAATTTTAATGTTGGTTTACTGGTTTGCTTTTGAGATTTTTTCTGGGGAAATGTACTGTTTCAGTCAGCCTTTCAAGACTTTAATAAACCTGGTAATTTTATAAATTGAGTTGCTTCATTTTTTACTTACAGTCACACCCAAAAAAGGTATACTTTTCTGTATTGGGGGTTAGATTATGGCAGCTGAGTTAAACATCTTGCTTTTTTGTTTTGTTTTGTTTTGGTATGTATCTTGCCATTGTGCGTTGATTTGCCAAGTTCCATATCATTTGGGATACAAGCAATAAACTACTGAAGAGGCATTCTAAGGACTTTTTTTTCATCGACTTTGAAATGAGTAACCAATTCCAGTAGCTTGTTGCATAAATATTTTGAAACAAGCAGAATACATTCACCTGTTATTTTCCCCCTTGGCTGTTACAGGTAGCCTGACTGTTAGCAGGTAGCATCTCTATTTGGTTTTTGCTTCATCAGTCAGTTATGCAGCAGAAACAGATGAAAGGCCTAGTAGTAGGGCTTGAGCAAAATATTTGAATTTTGGTTGTTGTGTGCATTAACTTGGGCAGATCGCTTAACTTCATCTCTTGCAGATGAATACAGTATGGCCCAGAAAGGTTCTGTGATTTGACCTTCAGTTTAAGAGGATTTGTTCAAACTTTGATCTTTTTACTTAAGCTCTTAGTTAGGCAAAGAAAAAAGAGAAGGACATATAGGGGTAGTTGTAAAGTGGGAAGAGTTTGTTTGGAAAATGTCCAAAGGAGTGGAATTACGGATGCATTAGGGAGATAGAGTGACAGGAATAGCAATGGCCAAACGGTGCATTCTGAAGACAGCCAAGTTAATCAGAGAAGAGGAATATCTGAAAAGAAAAAAATTGTGTAAACATGGAGATTGTTGGGTATTTTGTACATGCTACATTACTACCACTGATAATGACGTTATACAGTATGTTGTAAAATACAAAACTAGAAATTTAGTCTCAAAGTTATTATTTTAGAAAGTTTTTAAGTAGAATTAAATGATGCTTAAATCTTCAAGCTCATTAATTTTGAAATAGTTTTGGGGTTTGGCATTGTGGTTTAATGGTTAAGCTGCATCCTATATGGGTGCCAGTTCAATTCCCAAGTATTCCACTTCCAATCCAGCTCCCTGCTAATGTGCCTGGCAAATCAACAGAAGATAGTCCAGGTCCTTGGGTCCCTTTACACACATAGGAGACCTGTAACAAGCTCCTGGTTTCAGCCTGATATATAGCCCTGGCCGTTAACGCCATTTGGGAGCGAACCAGCTGCTGTAAGATCTCTCAGTTAATCTGTCTTTCAAATAAAGAGAATAAATCATTTTGAATGTTTTCAGACATTGAAATCTAAAATTTTATTTTAAATTACTCAACTGTTTAAAAAATTATTTATTTATTTGAAAGAGACAGAGGTCTTCTAGCCATCTTCCCCTGCTTTTCTTGGACCATTAACAGGAAGCACACTGGGTTAGAAGTTGAACAGCAGTGACTTAAATTGACACCCATGTGGGATGCCAGTATGCCCACTGCACCACAATGACAGTCTCTGAATGACTCAGCTTTTAGTATTTATCTTCATAATCAAGGCTTAGAGAAATAGACAACCATACCTGACATATGGAAGATCTAAATGTATATTACATTTGTTATCTCCTTGACTAGACTAATATATATATATACACACTTATGACTCTTACATAGGTAGCATAAAATATTCCAAAGTATTTAAAGTGGACTTTGTGCAAAAAATCATGCTTTTTACCTTTACCTTGACCTCCTAAGTCAAGGTGATGAAGAGATAATTGAATATTTTGTTTCCTATTCTTATAATGTATAATTGATTGTGAGGTTATATAATACAAAGCAACGAGATCTTCTTTCACATCTTCTCAAAACTTAAGTACTTTAAAACAGGTAAAGTGCTGTATTTTTAAAAGTCAAGAACTCCAAATAAAAATTTGACCCTTTGAGACCCATAAAAAAGTACAGATTCCATTTGGTTTGGTTTCTTGTATTTTCTAATTTTCAGCCCAAGGGCCTCTCCCAAATAATTTCATCACTGTTTTGATGAATGCAATTAACTAAGAATAGTATAAATAATATGTTCAGATTTTCAGCCAAGTATTTGTGTCAGAAATTTGTTTTTTGAACATTCCAGCATTAGTAGACCTGACCTATATAATACTTCAACATGCCCTAACAAAAGATACTGAAACCTAGCAGATAGGAAGATAGGAATTAAATCTCATGGAAAGTTGAACTCCTTGGTGACTTGGCCAGATGCCAGCTGTTGATACTGGTTCCATTTTCTCTTTCAGATAAGAAAAAAAAAATACATTCTTGACATACAAGTGATTGTCCAACCTTTACATTTTTGGTTTTTATGTAGGCAAATGAAATAAACTAAAGTTGAAATTGGCTGATTAAAAATGTTAATGTACTGGCAGTATTCTTTTCTAACAGTGCTATTTAGGTACTGTCATTAATTGTGGTAACACTGATATCTTTAATACTGCAGAGGGCACTGTAGCTAAAAGTTAGTCTTGGTTGTTATGTAAAACCTTTAAGGTAAGTTGCTTTAACAATGTAAGCATAGTGCTTATATTTTTATTTACAATAGAAAGAATTAAACCATCAGCTTTAGATTCTAACAGAAGTAAAATCATGATGTAATAGTGTTGGTTTGTACCTTCTGACAGTTTCATTGCTTGAAACATAAGATTACCTAAACCAAAATGTTCCCTTCAAATCCCCAAGAAAAAGGAAAGAACATTCACCACAGTTGGGAAAGCTTGGAAACCTACTACCAATACCATATCAGTATCTCCTAATGTTTGTAGATATAGGCGGAAATTTGTAAGAGTTTAACTTAAGGGATAAAAGTTAAAGGGGTTTAGCCCTGATTCTGTGAATGGACTTTAGGATATTTATGTCATAAAATTACACATAAACTTTAAAACATTTTTGGCACATACATATGTACATTTTCATGGAGAAAGGATCCTTAACTTTAAATAGATGATAAAGAGGTCATTAGCTTTAAAAAAAAAAAGTTGGGCTATAAAGAATAAGTTGGCAGAGTGAAAAGAGCCTAAGAACTGTTGGCTTGTTTTAGGAGAGTATTTCTTCTTTGAGAAGTGGGGAAGGAAATCCTAACACCTTATTGAGTACATGATATATAATGAATTCATGTATTATGCACATACAAGGTACTAGCTGAAAGCGTTGTTGGGGGAGTTGGGGTGATCATTGAAAACTTTCTGTGGAGCTTAATTCTGATACAGAACTTGAGTTGTGGGGCAGAGCAGGTAAAGCTTGTGCAAAAAAAAAAAAAAACCTGATTTGTGAAAGACTAGTTTAGGAGATTGGAGAATAGGGAATATATGAAAGAAATGATTTAAATAACAAATATAAGAATTTCTGAAACTTTCCCATGCACAATAGATGGATTTGTAATTAAAGAATGGTGTTTATATGGTTAATGGTGTAAAACAAGACAGGAAAAGTTTTAGGTATGGTATTCTTAGCCATTTATCCCATCTTGGGATTAGAATGCATAGATACTGTTTTTTTACATAAGGTTGCTAAATACAGTACTTAGGGTTACTAAAAATATGGCTAAAGTAATATATAAGTTCATACCAGTAGATATTTGTTTATTTGAAATGTGTTTAGGATTAGGTTTACCTTCTCAGAGTTTCTATGAGATCTGAGATTCTTTTAAGTCAAATAATTAAATTCTAGGTTACTAAATTTAAAAATGTTATTTAGGTTGGGAAATGCATAGTTGTATTGGCCTTTACAGTTTTGTTTGCTTTTATAGGACCTAAGGAAAGCTGGATTGCTGATTTTTGCTAATAAACAAGATGTCAAAGAATGCATGACTGTAGCAGAAATCTCTCAGTTTTTGAAACTAACATCTATCAAAGATCACCAGTGGCATATCCAGGCATGCTGTGCTCTGACTGGAGAGGGGTAAGAAATCTTTCACCTAGGTAACATGTGGTTAGCTTAGAAGCATACATCTTCTCTTAAAATCAATTCTAACTATTATTAGGCACAGTCCATGTCTGTAATCAGAGACTTTAGGATCATTCTATAAATAGTAAACCTCACAAAATAAGCATTGTATACATAATCTTAGTATATAAGTTTATGCAGTGCATGTAAGCATAGATATGATAGAGAAATTGCATGTCTCTGAAAGCTGGAGGCACCTGGGAGTACTTCTTGGGAATACTTGCTGGTCATGTCCTATGCCTGGAGGGTTTCTATGCAGTGTCTCATAACAGCTTCACAGACTATTTGTTTATACTTTGTTTTAGCAATCTGTATATTTAATTTCCTGCCATTTTATATACATTATGAGCATTTGATCTTACAATTTTGAAAGGAAAGCTTTAAATGTTTTGTCAGATGACTGCTCCATAATTTGTTAATTTTTTCTCCATTTCTAATCATTTAAATTCCTTTTTCCTATTTAAGATTTTAGTGAGCAATGTCATAGCACATCTCTAAAGGTGGAAAAAGGGGTGCAGAATGTTGCTGTGTTAATATTTTTGGTATATATTACAAGCTTTCTGTGGGCATTTACTGTGCAGTTATTGAGCTCCTTTTGGGAGCTGAGCTGTGTTCTAAATACAGAGGTACTGTTAGTAAGAGTGTGGCCTCACTGCAACAGCCCCAGCATTGAAAATACCACTTTTTTTTAATCTTGGTTATTTAAGGAAATGAAAAATTATACCTTTTTAGTTTGCTGTACATAGTTTTTCATTTCAGAATCTAATCAAATTTTGATTTTGTTTTCTTTAGATTATGTCAAGGACTTGAGTGGATGATGTCACGACTTAAGATTAGATGATCTCTACTGATCTCTTTCTTATAGACTTTGTGTAAATGTGCTGGACTTTACCGGAAAGCTGCAAAAATTAATGGTTTAGCTATATTTATAATAAACTGATTTAAACTTTTTCTATAAGAAGAAAAATTAAGACCACTTATTTGAAAACAAAGATGAAGTCTCACCTCCCAATTTACTTCCTATTATTCCTTCCAAAGTAAGTTATTAAAGCTGTGATTGACATTTTTCTCATAATGAATCCTCTCAGGACATTGTGTAGTCTGTGGTAAGTATAAAGGGAGAGGAATGCATTGTGAACATTTAAGAGCTTTGGTATCAGTATAACCCTCCCTCTTTGAATGTTATTATCTTCTTGTTCCATTTAAGTCAAAATACAAATCAGCACAGAAACTTGGTTTCCAATATTTTAAAATGTAACATTACTTATGAAAAGTATTTTTGCGTAAGTTTGTGTATGTATTGTATATATACCTCAAGTTAATGGCTTTGGTTTATGTGCTAAAGAAAGCAAGTAACACAAAAAGTAATAATATCCTTAGATATAAACGTAATGAGATGAGTACTGGCATTGGTGGTAAGTGCCATTTTGTGTGTTTTCTCTTTGTCCTCTGTATTATACCCATCTTCAAATCATCCAGCTGCTCTTAAAAACAAACAGGACAAGTCAAAGCTTGATACTTGGTGCCTCTTCTTTGTTACTCAGTCCCACAGATAAAAACATGTAACCCAACTAAATGGAATATGTATCCAGCTCTTATTTAGTATTACTATTGGACCGAATTGTGCAATGAGCAGTTACCAGATTATTCCTTTCGTTGGTCATTATGCCATCTAAATTGCTAAACATTGTAATTTATGAATCAGTCATTAATTATAAAAAAAACTATGAAGTGATTTCTTTTTAGTATTAATTGCATACTGGTAGGAAATATGTCTACCCAGAGAAGTAATGCTCTTTAAATATTTTTTAATAATTCAGCTACAGTCTTTGCAAAGTATTAAATTGTATTTCAAGCAGTTTAACAAATTGTAGAGTAAGAGTAAGGCATATCCAAGCAACAGCATTAATCACTGAATTTGTAAATTGCTTTTGTTTGATTGTAAAAGTTGCAATAATTTGATTTTTTTTTTGTAAAATTTATTGTATCTTCTTCCACACAGATATGTTGACAACTAGAAAATGTGAATGTTTTTTGAATGCTTTTAAAAATTTGATATAAAAATTAATTGATGTAATGTATTATTTGTACTGGGAAGTAACTTGATCTAAAATACCTTCTATATTTGCTTCTGATATTTTATTTGGTATCTAAAAGTTGAGGTATTTCCATCCTAACAGTAAGTGAACATCCTAAATATGTTACAGTATTCTTGGGCACTCTATGTATCTTTCATATCCGGAATCTGAAAATTAATCCAAATTGTCGTTTTATCGATTTAGAATATTCAAGGGAAAAAGATAACTGCCTTTAGAACAGTGTTTTAAGTTTCATAAAAATTTTGGTGAGGAGCAATATTACATACTGTATGCATTGAAAAAACTTTCCAAGTTCTTTTTTTTTTTTACCAGATATAATACTTGGTATCTAAATCCAGCTCGGACATGAGAGATCAGTATTTAACATTGGATGTCTTATGTTTACTGTTATAGTCAAAATGCAACTATAACATTGCGTATTTGTCAGTATGCTTTTAAGGTTTGTTCATATGATCTCATTTTTAAAATAACTGTACTAATTGTAAATTTAAAATTCCCTTTTGAAAAAATTCTAAAAATTAAAAAAAAAACTGAATTTCTGTAGAAGCCCAAATCTGTTTATCAGAGATAGTCTGCAATCACTCAGCCATGCAGATCTATACCTGTTATCTTTTTCATTTTAAAATTTGAATAGTTTCTTGATTGCTGGCACATCAATACAGTGCAGCACCAGCACATTCCTTGTCATCAGGGTATTGGCTAACATTTGTTCTTAACTGGATGTTTAAAACATGCCCTATGTTTTTATATTTGGTTTAGTATAATAAATTATTGAGGTAATATCATGGGAATGCACAGAAGCTTCTGCTGCATTTTAAAACCACAATTTTGTTGCTTTCTACCTATGTAGGCTAAGTATTTAAAGGTAGGTGATGTTTATATATGAACATAAAGCTGAAATGACAGTTGGGAAAAATAAGACTTACATTCATGGCTGAAGATGTCAGCATCATTTTAACAGTGTTAACTTTCAGATAAGATAGAGGGCTTCATCAGTAGTCACAAAGGTAGTTCATATTTAGTTTGAGTGGTTTTAAAGGGCAGTACTTTTTGAATTTGTAACATGTTACTTGGGAGTGTAAACATATCATTTATAATCACTGTGTTCATGTTTAGTGGAGCTAAGATTTATCTGTACATGTGGCTAGATTTAAATATCCTGTTTTGATACTAATTTTCAGAGTCAGAGAACTTGATATCTTGGTAAAGGAAAACCTACTAAATGTGCATTGATTTACTTTTGCCATGACCACATTTATGAAGTATACTAATACATTATATTAAGGTTTGAGATTTTTAGTTCTTTTTCTCTCCCAGTACAACTTAGCCTTCATCGTGGACAAGCAAAATAATAATGAAGGCAGGGGATTTGGGAGCAGTGGGAAATGGGTATTCATTTTATTATGACATTTTGCCTTAAGAATAAAAATGTGCTTTGGCACTGCTGGCTGGCATTTTCAATGAAGGTAGTAAAGTGACTTTAGAGGTGTGGCGTGGACTGCAGGGAGAAGTTTCTGACTTCTGGCCTTTTGAGGACTGCCTGGTATAGGTAGTTCGGTGAGATTCAGAAAAGCACAGGGCACCGAGAAAAGGCAGAAGTTCTTGACATGTTTTTTCCTTTTTGTCTGAGTGTGTAATATTAATTAAGATGCCTAGAAATGGGACTTTTGTCCTTTCTCTTATAGGCACTTTACATTTTTGCTGTTACTACAGCAACCACATACAGTACAGACAACCTCAAAATCTGTTTATATTAGTGTAAATAGAAAAATTGTAGGCAACTCTAGTTTTCTCTGCAGGCATTTTTAGGAATGTATCTGTAGTAAGTTCTGCTCTGTATATAGAGGATAGCAGCACACCATAGATTATCAGTGATCTTTGGGGTCATCTTCTCTGAATTACCTAATTGTTTCGTGGCATCAATCCCTTTCTGAAAACTGAGTGGAGATAAGGTGGTTCTTCATGTGCCTGAACTTTGATCCTTTCTACTCTGCAAATACAGTCTGGAACTTCTTGCTTCAAGGGTTGGATTTCCCATATCAGCTGTCCCTAGCCCTCTTGTTATCTTTGTTCACCATCAAGTGAAAATATTCCATCTTGATCCTGCAGAATTCTGAACATTGCTTATAGTCAGTGAACCCCAAAACACTAGTTTTTAGGAAGCTTCTCTAGTTTCTTGCTGTCCTCCCACAAGTAGCTGATTCACTTAATTGGACCTTACTAATGAGAAAGCTTTGTCAGAGTTGTTGGGTCCATCAGAACAGCCTGCAGTGCATACAACATATAGATGCCTGTAGTAAAAGCTCTTTAAGTTACACTGTATTTAACATATTAGTGCTTCTTAATTTTAACTTCATATACTGAGTAGATTTGGAAAGATAAGACTCTACCAGCTCCTTGAGATATTATTTAGGTGTGGCAAATATATTATGTATGAATTAGCTTACCATTGACAAGGGTGACTATGCTGTGGAGAATACCAGTTCAGCCACATTGAGTTGGAAAAATATGCCAGAAAAAACCTATACATAGTATTTTACCTAAAGGCGTCCTTAAGACCATACCCTACCCACATTCCATTATTTTCTTCATCTTTACTTTAAAAAAGATGTGTATTAGCTATCTAAAGAAATTAGTAATGAAATGCTTGTCTTTACAAAGTCTGTTGAAATATGCTTTAAGACATCATGCCTTGGCTATTGTTAGATGCAGATATAATATGAAAAATAAATGTTTACAGTTCCACTTATATGAAGAAAAGTATATTATGCTCCCTCAAGGAATGTTTGGTAGGTTAAGACCTTAATAACATAGTAAAGGAAAGCCAAAATTTAGAGCTTTTAAATACTTCTATTTGGCCCTAAAAACACATGGAATTGTGATAAGATGTAACAAATTGGATTAGTTGTATAATATTTATTATCATTTGTCTAGCCCTTGTGTATTGTAAAAACTAAGTCTTGCATAGTATTACCTGATAGGTAACCATTCTTTTGTTAAAAAAACAAAACAAAAAATATTCATAGTCTGTACTCAAGAAGTGCCTACAACTGATTTGTGTTTGATTTTCAAGCCCCTCTAATAAATTATATCTGTTTTCTATGGTATTGTATGTTCTTTTCTTACTGATGTAACAGTCCCGAGGGTCTCTCTAAATATCTCTGCTTTATTTGGATGAAAAGCCTTTGCATGAAATGCATGCACCCAAACCTCAACAAACCATAGTGAGGGAGTTCGCACCAGTAAAACAGCTGAAATACAGTCTGAAGTTGGCATTAGTCAATGCAGACTGGGAACCTGAACTCTCTTCTGTCTTTTTACATCACTTTTATGTGTGAAAATCATAGAAGTTTATTGCTTACCTAACAGGAGTAGCTTCTTAATCTTCAGATAGTGGTTAGTAATTTTCATTATTGTTGTTTAAATCTTGAGCCCTTTTGTTTGTATACATATCCACCAAAATCTCTCCTCTCTTTTGATTCTATAATCTTACTGTATCTCTTATATATTCTTCCAGTTTTAAAAAAAAAACAAATTCTGGGTAAAGCTTGACAGTTATTTTCAGTGATAGACAATCACATTGTGTTTCACATTGTAAATCATCTGCATGGAAAGTGAAACATGTATCTGATTTTTACCTATTCTATTAACATCCCTTCCCTCAAGCCTCTTACGCTGATGCCAGACAGAATTCCTCTATTTTTGCTCACACCCAATCCTCTTAAGTGGGAATAACCTACTTTTATATTATGTCCCTCTATGGTTTCATGAGATGATGTGATACCTGCAGAGTACTGTGAAAGATATGGTTTAGGTTTCTGTCCAGGATAGACCTCGAGAGGGCAGCTATGCCTGATGGGGGCTCATCTGGTTGCTAGAGATGAGAAAAACGTATGCTGTTATTTTACTAATCAGTAATTTTAATTGATGAGTTCTTGTTGGCTAATCTTTCTTACCATGTTTACCTAAGGAAGTCTAGATAAAGATGTGATCCAACTCATCTCTTTGTCTAACACCATCCTCTCCCTCCCCAAATTGAACTCTGTGCGTACTGTCTAACAAACTGGAAAGCCTTTAAAAACAAGTGTAGGTTTATGGGACTGTCCAAAACTTTAAAAGGTTTTCACTAAAGCCTTGCATAGAGTAGTAGGAGGAAATGTTGTCTTTCATTGTTAACATTTTGCAAACATGTTTCTCTGCTAGAGAAGTTCCATGTATAGGGAGTGTTCCAAGAAGTGAGAATCTCTGGGCACTTGGGATGCTTTTCTGTTTCCTCAGTGCTATTGAGTTCAGTGTCTATGGAAATAATGCTTCAAAGCCTTCTTGACAAGCTCCATGGTTGCTGGGGAGTATTTGTGCCGAGGAAGGATTGGAGTGGGAGACCTCCCCATTGGTAAAGCAGTGTGATGAGCTGCTTTGCAGTTATGCAACTTCATGACACTGTGACAGCGTTTTTGTGGCCATTGATAACTGAACTGTCAAGCAATGCAAGGTGTTGGTCAGGTGACCAATGGGGGGATTTTGTTGATTCTGAAATGGAGGAATAATGTCAAGCTACTTTGGGGGAAAATAGAAAATAGCATTCTCCTGGTGAGTTTCTCTATGTAATGTGTACATTAACTTTTTTAAAAAGTTGCATGTTAAATCTGTATCAAATATTGTCTCTTTTATGCTTTGCGTAAAAAGGAAAAAAATGTTACTCTGTTATGTACTATTCCATATACCTTTTCTTTTAGAAAGGGTTAATTATAATTACTATTCCCACTTCTGTGTTGTCAGTGTTTTTATTCTAGCTTATTCTCCAGTTGTGTGCACATCACCAGTAGGACTCATATCCACCATGATAATTAAGAAAGTATGACAACTGTATTTTCTTAATGACAAAAATTGATCAAATCATTTCTAGGAAGCTTTTTCAGCATTTAGTTAGTTAATGAAGGATTTTCTTTCACTTCTGAATATTGTATGTAGAAGCGAATCTGATGGTAACTACTTTTAATTTTGAGGGTGGGGGAGGTCTAATCATTATAAATAAATATTACTGAAGCGGCTGTTCATAGATGTTGTTGACGGTAAATAGGAAAAAAGCTGTCTAGGGAGGTCATCCCAGGCATATATACTTCTTGGAATATTGGAATATACTTCTTGGAATATTGACTTCCTTTCATCCACTGAGATATTAGCTCCAGGAGGGCAGTCACCCTGAGTATTGTATTTATCAGTTTATGTCCCCTTGTGCTGGGCACGGTGCCTTATCTGTAACAGGTGTTCTATGCATGTATGTTCACTAATGAATGTTTGAACTATTAATATTTTCATGGGTATTTCCTGGTTCTTTTTGACTGCCACCCTCCATAGGTATTTCTTACCTATTTGATTTAATATACTGTCTCATTTAGTTCTTACTGTGTTTAGTGCTGCCTTATTTCAAAGGGGAGGTAATGTGGCTGTATGCTTTTCTCATTAGTTCTTGTGGTAGAAATTCAAATTGGTTCTTACAGAATGTTCTCAAAGCATAATGCAGAGGCACATAAATATGCCTTGATTTTATTTATTTGAAATCTGCAGATTTGCATGCAGGAATGTCAGTAAAATGCTAGAGTTTGTTGTCAGCCTCTGTAGCATGATAAGCAACCCAAGAGCTTCCTGGAAAAAATGCTGTGTCATCTTATTTTTTATGCTCATTTTTAGTTTTCACATCTGAAATGTCCCCTTTTTGCTAGTAAGGAACTTCTTTCTCATGAAATGAGTGAGACTTCACAACATTAAAATAACCTCTGACAGTGCTTTTGAATTGAATGTGCTCCTTTTGATTGGTGCTGCACTGCTGATCATCCATGAGTTGGGATGCATAGGTAAGCAGTTACAGTGTTGCACGCCTTACTTCTAGTACATTGTTACTTATCATAATAGGTGTTCCCTTGAAACATCTTTTTGAAACATTTCCAAAGATTGTCAGGATTCCCAAATAATATTCTACTATACTTCATGTTTTGTTAAAGGAAGATTGCAAAGGACATCTTCCACTTTGCTTTTGTTTGTTGTTATTTGTATATTTTTAGCACTTAGTATTATTTTTATAAATTTAGTACTGTTTCTTTTTACTAGAGTCTTAGAAGTAAAGCTGCTGGATTGAGTGGTAGAATGGGATTTGAGAATGCTTATTATTCCCCTGTATTTCCTAATAAGTATTTTGTTTCAAAAAAATCTAGGACAGTAAGTATATTGTGTTATTTTAGAGTTAACTTATTTCAACTATTTTTCTGTATGTTTGGATTTCTTTTTTGCTTTCTTCATTATTAAATCTTGGTGTTTTATTATAAATAAATTCTTTAAATAGTAAACATTGTATCCCTTTGTCTTGTTTTTGCATCTTTTAAAACTATATATTAATATACAAATCACTTAAGAAGCATTTGGATTGAGTGAAAACCAGAAGAGACTGTAAACCAAAAGAAATTCACTTGCTTTCCCATTGTCCTAAGAAAATGAGCCTCAGAGGGCTCTTGTTATGGCACTCAGAAAGTCTGCGTCCCTTATCAGGGTGCCAGTTTGAGTCATGGCACCTCTGCTTCTGCTGGGGTTCCTGCCACCCACACAGGAAACCCTGGAGATCCTGGCTCCTGGCTGGGGAGTGGACCAACATATGGAAGATCTCTCCTTTTCTTTCTGTAATTATGCTTTTCAAGTAGATGGGAAAAATGTGTTAAAAATATGTCAGCACAGTTTGTGGTTTCCAAATATATTTTTAATGACACAGTAGTTGTACCTACATATGACATACAAACTGGCATTTTAACATGTGTATACAGTATATAATGACCAGATCAAGGGCCTGGCAAATCAATCATGAGCTTTTTTCAAATACAGGATTCTAAAAATTATTTCTAGGTGCCACCGATGGCGTAGTAGGTAAAGCTGCAGCCTGGGACACCAGCATCTTATGAGCCCTGGTTCATGTTTTGCCTGTTCCACTTCCAATCAGACTTCCTTCTAATAGACTTGGAAAAGCAGCCAAAGATCAGCCAAATCTGGATTCCTGCTGCCCCCTGGTTTCGGCCTGGCTGAGTGCTAGTTGTCGTGTTCCTCTGAAGAGTGAATTGACAGATAGAAGATGTCATGTCTCCATCTCTGTAATCTGACTTTCTAATGAATCTTGAAATAAATAAAAATTATTTCCATACTGTAAGCATGTCTTACTTGTAAAACATTATTTTAGTGGATGTCTTAATATTTGTCCTATCTTATCTTGGTATATATGTCCATAGACATATATATCTTAATTGAATGATGTTGGCATAAGGTGATCACGGGTAAGTATTTGCAATTGATATATATAGTAATCTTTCTATCTACATAGATAGATTACTGCTCATTATTTCTCACCATTAAAGACATGACTACAATTAACATTTGAATGAGATTTTTCTTAAACTCTCACAAATCTACTTGCTTTATCAAAAGTATATGGCTCATCAAAAACTTTTGATGGCCTTTTGTGTTCCCAGAGGGTTTCCAGAGTGGTCCATTCTCTACCCACCCAAGGCCATCTCTGTATTGAGATATGTTACGTTAAGCATTCACTAGCCTATTTGCCATTTGTGCAGACCACCACTGTTCTCCCTGGGTCTGCCTGTATTCACCAGAGCCTGCATGTACACAGGTTAAGAACTGGCATACTCTGCTCTTTATCATTTATAATGTGTACTTTTGCTGTTAATCACTTGTAATGTATCCAGATAATTAGTGACTCTGTTGTGGAAAGGGGAAAAAACTAAGTATCTCTCAGCTGACCTCTCTTTTAATATCAGAAAAAAATACTCTCCAGTAACTTTTATCACCAGAAGATCAGTCACCTGTGAAAGTTTCTACTTCTGCCAATCCTTTGAGTTTTCTTAAAGCTCTTTGTTTTATAGGATTTTTAGATTCATTGTATTGCACATTGGTTGCTTTCCCAAGTGTGACTGAAGTTCCCATTTCATCATTGCTTCTTGTAGAAAAAAATGCATTTGATGAACGTTATTTTAAGTTGCAGGAGCACATCTTTGTTGAAGCAGTCTTATGCAGTCTGAGAATATTTTATGATTTTATTTCTTTGTTCACTCTTTGAGTTTGAGTGTTTTTGCAGATTTGTGCTTTTTTTCTTAACTTACTTTCATACCTCCTTTGCACTTTTTCCTACTGGTTTTATAAAAGTTACTTTAAAGAACACTGAGGTTTTTTGTTTGTTCTTGTTTTTGCCATGTGTCAATCTGTTGACCTTTTCACTGATGTCTTATAAATTGACCTCAAAAGACTGTAGCTTCAGTTTGTTGTAGGTAACTGTGTCTGTAAAGATTATGCCTGTTAGTCAAAATGTTTGGCGTGGCAAAGATAGGAAAATAACTGATAGGTTGTTTCTTATATGGATCTTTAGTGGTTTTTTTTTTATATCTATCCTCAGTAGACAGTGACTTTTTATTCATTCTTTGCCCCTGCTCTTCTACATATTGCTCATAGTTAACTATCGTGATAGATGATTAAAGAGGACATGATTGGATTTCAGTCTTGTGGAACATATGTCCTGCATTTTAAGCATCTAAGATTTTTGCATTGTTTTCAGACATGTGTAAAAGTAAGTTGGAAATCTGATTTTGAAGATTCATCTAGGGTGCATGCATTAGCGTTAAATATCTTAAGGGAATAACTAAATGCATATGAAACATGCTGCTGTTAAACATTTATCAGGACATTTTGACAGCATGCAGAAATGATTACATTTTACAAAGAAAAATGATACAAATGGTTAAGATTAGTACAGACACAATTATGTGTATGAAAATAGAAAAAAAGGGGGTGTCTCTCCCTCCTCTTTCGAGAGGCACCCCACTTCCCAGCTTCCTTTCCGGAGGTGCTTCGCCTTCGCTCCCTTCTCTGCTTACCTGGTCTCTTCGCAAATAAACTTTTCTGTTTGCAGCAGAAAAAAAAAAAAAGGGAAATGTATCTTAGGGTTATTAGAGGTTGTTGTAGGCAACAACATAATAGTTGGGTGTTTTTCTGATCCTTTAAGCTTCTGTGTGTCCCAGATATTCTATTGAACACATTATGTTTGTAATTAGAAAATAATGGATTTTTAAGGAATCTTAAGATACAGAAGTTTTAAATTTGTAAGTAAGTGAGAGGCAGCTCTTAGAAATGAGAGTGACTAAAAAAAGTTAATTCACTGATACTATTTTTAACCTCCAATGCAGGTTGAATGTTTTTGACAGAATTCTCATTAACCCGTACACATATAAAGAGATTACCTTTGTAGTGCTGCTGTTTTGATTGGCTCTTGATAATGGTTAATGGCCATCTACCTGGCTGTTTTTTTAGGTTATAAAAGCAGTGCTGTAGATGAACCAAATTGATACTGTCTCAATCCATGTGTTGTGAAAAATTGAACTTGCATACTTTTAACACATTGTTTACTCAATACTATGTCAGTCAATTTCATAACATTCGGAAAAAAAAAAAAACAGCGCTGTGAGGGAAATATTCTGGTGGAGGATGGAAGACAGCCCAGGTCCTAACCTTAGGTCTTAACCATAGAGCTTTCTGTGAATTTTCAATGCTTTTTAAGATTTTAACTGCAACAGTCTCAAAACTTCAGCAATGGAATTTTTTTTGTGTGATGGGTATTTTGTGGAACCCCAATGCAAAGGTTGATTTGATATTTTAATGGTATTCATATTTTGTAGATTTTCATTTTTAGTACTCTAAGCAAAGTAGGGCAGTTTTACAAA